ATTAAGAAAGGTAGTCACCACTTGTAAATCTTTCCGAACGTTGTATCTTTCGTGTAACGTCTGTAAAGCAGAATTGATTGGAGTGAAACCTATGAATATCAGGGTAGATGGCGTACTTTTTGATCAGACACTGTGACACACTTGATCCTTTTCCTCTGAGATATGATGGCAGATAGAGCAATACCACGATTTTTAAGCTTGACCGACACGTCTTTTTGCTTGGGTTATCGCGCAAGAGGGTTTTAGAGGTTTGGACTGATCCAGCAACAACGTGCTCATAAAACGTATGTTGTTATGAATAATCATGTGTGACATATGTCTCACTGTTGACTTAAGCGAAAATTGATCTTTTAACTTTTAGACTAGTAATATAATTTAGCGTGGTCGTATATAATTACGAGGTTACAGAAATTCTTTAGTTAACACAACTTTTCTATTCTGAGTACACGATCACGGAAATACAGTAAAAAACATATAGACGAGGAGTATGTCGTGTGGTAAGTCACACGTAAAATGAAAGTAAACTGAATCTGTGCATCAGAGCACTGATTAATATTAGTTTACCTCATATTGAATACTAATTACAGTTTCAACTATATCATTAGGTGAAACTTGGTATTATTCAAAAGGTATGCTCACCTAAGTCCTTCATCTTTATGAAGACATCGACTGCTGACCACAGATAGACAGTCAATCATTTCCATGCTTCATCTTTTCATTCAGTGCAATAAATCGTCCATTTTTGTCCAATTCTAATTCCAGATGTAATTTGTCTTTTGTTCTGCCTCGTTTCTCTTACCACTGCGGATTCCAAGTTAGGTCTCACTTTGTGATACAGTTTGATAATTTCTGCAGTGTGTGCCATATCCACTATAAGAGTCTTTTCTTTTCTTCTCACCTGGGAGCTGATTTGTGCTTCATCACAGTGAGCTAATGCTGATGTTGTCTGACAAACGAATTCGGAGTAACTTTAATAAATATCTGTGATGTTTTTCTCCAAGAATCAGCACCACAAAGAACTGTTTTAAGTTTAAATTTAAAGTTTTGGCCTTAATGTTGTCAGACAGTCCTTTAAATTGCAGATATTCGTCGTTTCTTTGACTGTTTTGCCAGTTCGAGCAGACAAATATTCGACAGTATATTCTTGTTTGCCAGTGCTGTTGTTGAAGTGTTTGGGAACTCTTCCTCCGTCTAATTATTACTCAGTCGTTGGTCATAGATTCAGAAGCTTTTGCACTCCCCTGTGAGACTTCAAGCCCATTGTCGAACAAGAAACTGCTATACTAGTATACCTGATCTACTTTTTTTGCTGTGTACGTAATGGAACAGTCATCAAAGAACTTTATATCGTCAACTGTGTCCAAGGTATCAACTACACTACGTGTTTTCCTGTGATGAGGTAGTCCTTACTGTAAAAAGCCTTTGCAACAGAAAATAAAAAATTCAGTCGACTGTAGACTACCATTAGTGATATCCTATTTTTCGGCAAATTAGTTGTACTCAATTTTCAGAACTGCCGTTTTTAGTGTTTTACCATGGAAATTTATGTTCCCGGAATAAAAATCGTAAAACAGCAAACTGTAGAAAGGCGAAAAACAAAGGTAGAAGTTTCGTGAAGGAAACTGTGATAAAAGATATTTTAACAATTTATTGAAAACTGAAAATTGACGAATACTCTTAGGCTACTCATAATTTGAATATGGGTTTCCTCCTTGTTTGCTTGGGGGCTGTAAGTGTTTCAATCTACTGTCATTCAAGAGTGGACCGGATTAAACTTTTAAATGCAGCTATGATAGTAATGCGATACCTCTGCAGTCCCAAGCTTTACTAGTGTTGGCCTTCCAGTATCTTGCTCAGAATTCATTCTTATCAGTATTATATCAAAGGTTCTTAATTCCAAATATTTCCAAAGAGACCAGCAACTATCTTTGCAGTGACCTCAATCTCTGGCGCTTGTGCTGAATATGCGGTGCTGTCTAATCCAGGGTCTGTGCACCATCTGCTTTGCCTGATTTCTTTTATTGTTTATATGATGAACACTGCTGGAAGGTACGAGTGCTGTTCTAAACACCAGTGGTTATATTCTAGTCAAACGTTTTTCGGTGTGTTCTGTCCGCTTGTTCAGCTATTCGTACATACTTACACCTGCTACTCCTCGTCGAGGAACATAGGCCACCCACCAGAATTCTCCATCAAACCCTGTCCTGGAAAATCCTTTCCACTTGTTATTCACCGTTTTCACGTCTGCTTCTGGTGTTCTTCGGCTTTCCTTTTTTCTATTTCCCTTCAGGATCCCAAGTTAACGCTTGTCTCGTGATGCAGTTTATTGATTTCCGTGATGTGTGTCCTATCCACTCCCAACGTCTTTTCCTCTTCAGTTGGAAGTTGGTTTATTCTCCCCCTCAGTAGCCTGTTGATGATGATATCCGACCGACGGACATTAAGTATCTTATGTAGACCGGTGTTTGTAAATTCTTGTACCTTTTTGATGATGGTTGTGGTAGTTCTCCAATTTTCAGCTCCATACAGTAGAACTGTCTTGACGTTTGTATTGTAGATTCTGACTTTGATGTTGGTTGACAGTTGTTTTGAGTTCCATGCGTTCTTCAGTTGTAGGAATACCACCCTTACTTTACCAATCCTTGTGTCTACAACTTCATCGGATCTTCCTTGTTCATCGATCATGCTGCCCAGGTACGTGGGAGTTTCCACCTCTTTCCATCAAGTGTGATTGAGTTAGTGTTCTCCGTGTTGTATTTGAGGATGTTGATTTATCCATTGTGTATGTTGAGGTCTATTGATGCAGAGGCTGTCGCTACACTAATTGTCTTCCACTGCGTTTGTTCGTGTGTATGGAATAGAAGGTATGATGCTCTTGATACTGATCAAAAGTTTATATTATTTATTCTTGACTGTTTGTCATATTTTCTGTAAGTACGTCAGTTACACTATTTAGTTGTGTTATATTACTTTCTGCGAGCACAAATGAGTTGAGCTCAGTTCTTCGTTCTTGCTCTCTTCAAGATAATACAATGAATTATATATATGGAATATTCTTTGCACTTGCCTTTTTTCTGTAGCTTTCGCTAGTTCTATATGTTGTTGTTTTTAGGCCTTAATCGTCTTCTTTACTTACTCGTTTGATCTAGCATATTTTGCTTGTATCTCGGCTTTTCGTGGTTGTTTGGGCTGCTATTTCTTTCTGTAACCCTTCTCAAACTGTACAGAAATTCATTTTTGGTCGGTGCGTATAGTAGTCCAGCACCTCGTGTCATACTGGGATCATTATTTTCTTTGTCCGTTTTAAATTGTTATTCTCACTAGTTTTGAACTTTTCTAAGAGATCTTGTAGGAATTGGGGTATGTTGCGGGTAGCTATCTTGCTAGCATATCGAACATATCTATATCATCTGACGACATTCATAAGGAAGAAAACCACGACCAACTTGAGCAAAACCAACTACATTGATCAAGTCATTTTTCTCGAATACCAAAGAATGAACATGGAGGGCAACCCTTTTGAAATCATCTGTTGAAGACTATACACAGGAACAATGATACTGTTGAGGGCCAAACTATCTGCTTCTAGTTCCGATTCTAAGATTATCTAAGTCTGGAGCTTCTGTTGTTACTGTTAGTTGCTCTCATTATCAAATGTTAGTCTATTGTGTAGGCTTGCTGGACCACCATCTCACCTTTCTTTTTGTCCATCTCTTTTCTAGCCCTTCGCATGCTCGGCCAGTACGCATTACTACTTGCTGATTAAACGTGAAAGGCTACTAACATGACTTCTTTCTACTAGTCCAGAGCAATGCGATGACTGTTCCTTCGGAAAATTAACATGAGGATAGTTATGGATTGCCCTCTCCCAATAAAAGCGCTCCAACAAATGCATACACTGAGAAAGACTGTCGTGCTTGTTAACCATACTCACACTATAACAATCTATAACCCCTCTCTTTTCACTCGCATGTTCTACCCCTTGTCTTTAGTATCTATTCGCTTATTTTCCTCAAAAAGTAACTTACCCTCCACAATTTCTAAAATAATCAGTCAAGTGTTACTACAGATGATTATCCCAGCTACTATAGGGCAAGTCACACTTAATGACATCCAAAAGATCTGTCCTCAGTGAAAAGTCCAACTCAATTAGTACTATAAGTAGTAGTATAGTTAGGATAATCTTTCTGAACGCAAACAATGAAATCAAGACACGACCATTGGGACCTTCAGCTTTATACCGAAAGCAACCAAACAGTGTAAAACTCTGCTGTCCTGCCGACTACATGAGATTGGAGAGAAATTATTATGTATAACGAAGCCTGAGTAGTCATTTGACAAAGTGAAAACTGGCCAAGAATTTCAACTTCGGATTCATCACACCGAAACCAAGACCGATTCATGTAGATAATGCTGATTGTCCTATTGAATGGCTTGACAGAAACAATAAAGCAAACCGACTGTTGCTCGAGGTGTACAATTAAGAGTGCTAAGGAGAAGTTATAGAGGACTTTGTGAAACCTAGAACAATTATCCCCATTTCCACTCTGTGACTTATTAAGTAATCGGTTTATGTTAATCCTATGTTGCCCTGTTTATAAGTCTGTAACCTATTCCTTCCTGCAGCATTCTACGTGAACTTTTAGAAAGTAATATCTCACGAACATGACCAATCAAGTTATCACAAAACAGAGCACAACAGTGATTCCCACTGACATATTGAGGTTTAACTTTCTTTTAAAAGTTTTTACATGTATGCATAATTTAAATTAACCTTTTAAGTACTTCGTGAGCATTTAATACCTGAGAAACCTAAGACTACATTACATTGGAACTGATTCTACGGAACTACAATATCATCAAAATTTACTAATTAGGAATCCGTGCCGTTTAATTAATCGATCAGACGGTGTGTTGTTTTCGTCGGTAGTATAACACTGTCAAAGTATTCCTAAGTTTTCTGGAGACCAATTATCTTTAGGAAAAACATTTGAACGAAATTAAGATTCAGGAAATTACTTTTATTCAGAGAAATATTTTGGTTTCTTTTCAATAAATAGAAGAAAAATCATTATTAATAGTACAATCACAGTGCTGATAGAGGAAAAATTACAAGGATAAAAATATATAGTCGAATAAACTTAAGGATAAGTAGATAAATGTATACATGAACAAAACGGAGAACCATGATAGATGCTCCTGGTTTACGTTGAATATGCACACACCAGTTATTTAACAGGTCCGATTTAAGAAATTATAAAGCACACTTGTTAAGGAGTTTGAAACCTGGTGTCTGCATTAAGCATCATCTAGATAGTCACTAGAAGAATTGTCTACTGCTATTAGATGGGATCATTAAAATAGACTGATTAGTTATATCTTTATTTGGATCAAACATTTCATTATCCATCAATACTTCTAGTTGCTCATTTAACAAAGTTGGTGAATAATCATAAATAGATGATGAATGCTCTGTACAACTGGTGTTTTCCTCTTTGTAGACATTAACATGTCTAGACGTTGCTAAAGACTGTCCATGAATAATATCCTGCACAGAATGTGGTAAAGAATCAGACACTTGTTCCAGCTGGCCTAACAAGGCTGTAGCACGAATTATAGAGTCTTCCAGTGGAATCTTCATGGATAGTTCATTCACATGCTAAATTTGTCACAAAAACATTTACGTAATATTAACTGCTTGATAACAAAAAGAAAACCAACATGTTCCATAAACTAGTACATTAGATGTAATTATAAATGAATTGCTTATAAAAAAAGGCATCACTTCATATGGAAGATAATAGTTTGTGAGGCTACAACGGCTGACTGAATTTCATTCATTCATATATATATAATTTGAGCATTGTATACAACGTAATACTTTATACTTCTATGGTGCATTTATATATCATTACGGAATCAACATGTCGAAAGTTTTTCTAACTACGTCAACTCTTTTACCATGAAATATAATTTCTGGTGATTTATTTTTATGAAATAAACTAACCTTTAATATACTGTTTGCATCATATTTTCTATTCATGATATTATCTCTTTGAGTCAAAAGTATGGCGGCAGCGAAAAAGATATGGAAATTCTTAGTCCGATAATCTGTCCAAAACGCCTAGAGAAAGCATTACACCAAAAATGATAACACTATTAATGCAGAATGGAAAGTCATGAACGGGTTTGACTCTTGTCATTAGCAAAACCCACTGGTAAATATAATCATATCAAGGAAACGTGAGACTTCAATTTAATTTCACATTAACTGGTTACAAAGTAGTAACTAATGTTATGCTTATCTAACTCATAACGCTGATCGAATTCTATTAATCAAGTTGAATTCTGACTACTAGTCTTCATGAATGGTCAGGAAACCATAAACCTAGATTTTATTCTAAGCTAGAACTAGTCGACGTAAATTGTTAGCAATCTTGAGGGAATTGACAAGGCAATTGCTATAAATCATTGGCCAACCAGTGTAAATATCTCAGTTTTACAGGATATCAGTCGAAGCCCGAATAGTTCAATAGCAACGTCTCATATTATGAAACTGGATGATCCAAACTTGAATTTCACACAGGACACAAGTTCCGGATTGCAGGTACTACTTGGTAACAAGTATAAACTAGCGCGAAACATAAGCTCACAGTTTTATGTCAAGTACCTGATATTGAAATCGCTTTCATAATGAAAACCTGATTAAACTACTCTGTGTACATCAACTGAGAGAATGAAAATATGAGTATCTAGGATAGTATACTAGACGTAAAAATAAAACTGGTATAATGGAGAGGGTAGTATGGAAATATAGCTCTTGGAACTATCGTACAAAGGACAATTTTTACACTTTTATTGTACAATTAATAGACGCTCGAACAGTAAAAAAATTTTATTCTCCTATTTTTTAAATTTTGTTGAACCCATAAATCGCTGTCATATACGTTATCGTTCCAGATTTACTATTAATTATTTATTTACTTATTACTCCGATTTATAAGCAAACAGTGTAATTACTTAATTGTGTTGCTGTGTCGTCAGGTATATTGTATAGATTCTGAGTCATGACAGAATGAATTACAATGGAGGACTGATCTGCTTCCTACATACGTCTTCTGATTGGACACTAGGTTAGAAAGATCTCGAAGAGTAGTAAGCTTTAAGGTTCTGGTTGTTCCTAATTGGTCGATGTCTAAATTGGTAAACAGTTCACCGATCGTACTGGCAATATAAGCTAAATAATCGATAGTCGAACTAGAGAGGAAGAGAGCATAAAACTGCTCTGTTGTTATTAAAACTTGGTCACACGAGACCTCAATAGAACTCAACCATCCACTTGCTTGTTTTTTCCGTTATGCCAAAATATCTTCAAGGTTTTCTATATTTTAGTATTTCATTGGTTTCATTTTGTTTTTTTCTTCGGTACTCCACAGCCATTGATGGGTTTACATTTTTAGATGTTTAAGTTGATTTCCTCTGTGTTAATATAAAGTATGGTCAAGACAAGCCAACGCAAAATTTCCTTAAAATCCTACGACATTTAGCATGTCACAATCATGTGAGGATATAGAGAAATAACAAATAACTAATAAGTGATAGTAGGTGGTATACTCTACCTGTAGCTCATCCAGGGCTACTGCCAATCCCGAGCTCGGGTAAAGGAGGGTTGGGCATGGGGTCGGCAACCCCACCCCGTAGAAAACAACCTTGTCAAAAAACGCTAACCAGATTGTAGGTGGTTGTATACCAATTAAAATAGATTTTAAAACACTGATTAAAGTAAATAAACACGTTTTAGTAAATAATATAATCATCAATAACAAATGAAGAGTTAGAAAAATAGCGAAACGTTTTCGAAATTATTAGTGTATAACTTAGGTAATTACAAGAAAAATAACCAGTTTAGAAAATTAACAAAAAATAAACGAACAACTTATACATGAATTTGAAGAAACTATTGAATTAAAACAATTATTAACATATGATTAATTTAACATACCTCCCATAAAGTCATAGTATCTTTGTATGAGAATTCTCGTTTGAAATGAATTAACAACCAGCGGAAGCAAAACGGCATTTCTTTGGCACTTTTCGACTCTGTAAACATTTATTGTAGACATTTTAGTAAAAATAAGATTTATAAGATGCGAATTGGTTACCAGTTTACGTAAATGAACAAAATCAAAGTATAAAAACAATACGAAATTTTATGTGATATGAAATGATAGTATCCTTCTGAACATCTTCAAAGTAAGTTTTCTATGCACTAGATGAAAATTCGTAAGTTCAGAATTATTTAAAATGAGATTTAATTTAACAACTAGAAGTGGATTACATCGAGGAAGCTATCTTCTTATAAAATTGTATTAACTTTGTTAAGTTAATGATTCATGGAAGGCCAGCTATAATACATTCAAGTCAGTAGAAAATTGTTAGCTAGCGCTGCAATGTGTAATCATAACGATTTCTAAACACGTACTGACAATAAGATCAAGTATTAATGTTTTACTACATTTTATTACAAGCAAGAAATTAATCTTCGAAGGCTTACTTATATCGGTCAAACCAAGTATTGAAATTTATTTAGATTAAATGTGGTTACATTAACTAAGATAATTAAACGTATGTTATGCTAACAGCTAAATGGATTTACAATAATCTCAAACATTTAGACATAGTGAATAAACTCAAGTTTGCACAATAAAAGTGATAGCGCATTAAACTATCAACTGTCAGTTAGATTTCTTGAAGATTCACAAGAAAGAAAACTACACTTTTTTGGCAACACAAGTGTGACATAAAAATAAACATGCTGAACAAGATGAAGACTTTGTAAAATCCTAAAACACTGTATTATCCAACACAAATATGCTACATAATCGTCTTTGTCGTTTCTCTAATATTTACAGTCTGCTTCAAAATAGTTATCGAAATTTTATATATATATATATATATATATATAGAGAGAGAGAGAGAGAGCAGAGCACGCAGACCTTCGAACAGATGTTACTCCACCAAAGATCGAAGACTCAGGATGACCACCATATAAATCAAGAGAGAGATCTGACAATATACAAACAAAAGCACTGGTCAGACATAGAAGTAACTGCAAACATGCTCCACATTCTATTCAGGAAGATTTGGGAGGAAGAACAAGTGCCAACTACAGACTGAATAGAACGGCACCTCATCAACATACCAAAGAAAGGAGATCTGAGCAAGTGTGAGAACTACAGAGGCATCACACTACTATCAGTACCAGGAAAGGTTCTCAACAGTGTTGATGAACCGGATGAAAGACTCAGTAGACGCCCAACTTCGATATCAACAGTTAGGATCCCGTACGGATTGGTCGTACACAGACCAAATCAAGGCGCTACGGATAATTGTTGAACGAGCAGTTAAGCGGAACTTGTCACTACACACCAACTTTCTTGATTATGAGAAAGCATTTGACAGTGTGGATAGGAGAATTTTATAGAAAATTCTTCGACACTATGAAGTACTCAAGAAAATCGTCAAAAGCATCCGGAATTCATACGACGGAATATTGTCAAAAGTCTTGCGTAGAGGACAGCTGACAGATGCATTCCAAGTGAAAATCGAAGTTAGACAAGGCTGCTTACTCTCCCACTTTCTCTTTTATCCGGTGGTCAACTGGAATATGAAGACCTTCACACCTGAAGGGAATCACAGAATACAATGGACAGCTTCGACACACCTAGATGATTTGGACTTTGCAGTTGATCTAATCGTTCTATCCTATACACACGAACAAACGCAGTGGAAGACAATTAGTGTAGCGACAGCCTCTGCATCAATAGACCTCAACATACACAATGGATAAATCAACATCCTCAAATACAACACGGAGAACACTAACTCAATCACACTTGATGGAAAGAGGTGGAAACTCCCACGTACCTGGGCAGCATGATCGATGAACAAGGAAGATCCGATGAAGTTGTAGACACAAGGATTGGTAAAGTAAGGGTGGTATTCCTACAACTGAAGAACGCATGGAACTCAAAACAACTGTCAACCAACATCAAAGTCAGAATCTACAATACAAACGTCAAGACAGTTCTACTGTATGGAGCTGAAAATTGGAGAACTACCACAACCATCATCAAAAAGGTACAAGAATTTACAAACACCGGTCTACATAAGATACTTAATGTCCGTCGGTCGGATATCATCATCAACAGGCTACTGAGGGGGAGAATAAACCAACTTCCAACTGAAGAGGAAAAGACGTTGGGAGTGGATAGGACACACATCACGGAAATCAATAAACTGCATCACGAGACAAGCGTTAACTTGGGATCCTGAAGGGAAATAGAAAAAAGGAAAGCCGAAGAACACCAGAAGCAGACGTGAAAACGGTGAATAACAAGTGGAAAGGATTTTCCAGGACAGGGTTTGATGGAGAATTCTGGTGGGTGGCCTATGTTCCTCGACGAGGAGTAACAGGTGTAAGTTATTACACACCCAAACTGAAATTTAACAGATGTGGTCAATTCCGTAGACCTAACATTTAAAAAGGAAGAGAGAAAACAGTTCATAGAGAATACTTATAATTAAGGAAATCGGGATGACTAATGTTTAGCATATGTGCCTTTGAGGCATTGCTAGTGTTTATTGAAACCAAAAACTGAGGAATGTGGAGATTAGGAGTAGGATACTGGGTTAATATGCTACATCATTTGATGACGTTTTTGTCGACTGAGGTGGTTGGGTGAAGTATTATGCATATTCAATCACTGCTTACCTACACTAGTGATGATAGCTATTATGGGAGTAGGTTGGGAAAAAGCTAGAGGTGGCCAAACTAAAAACTGACATAAGTCCATGAAGCCATTAGCTGTTTAAATGAGGTGTTTTGGTAGATGCAAATAACCTAGTCAAAGTCAGCACGGTAATTTTATTTAGTAGTTAAAAGAGTTAGATAGTATGCCTTAGAAGTGATCTCAATGGTGGAGTCATAGTTACAATGTTTTTCCTCAGATACAAAGTTTTTCTTTATTTTAAATTTTCCTATTCCATGAATTTGCATTTCCCGAATCGTATTTTCTATGCTTAATCTTTTCAATTACCGCCAATACTGTTACTGCTCTAGATTGTCGTCGCGTTATTGGGGTGTGGCAACTTGAACCAATGTACATGCATGCCAGCTTTCACGTTACGCATGACTGACTGACTGTTTAGGATTTTCGATATTCTTAGATAGTAAAACAAAAAAACACCCAGTTGTTGTTATTAAGTCTTATAAAAAAAGAGAACCATACGAAACATTATGCTATAGATATTTCAGGTAGGTTTACGAATTACTAGTAGAATTACATATACGTATCAAAAATGCGATGGGTATGTGAGGGCATACAGTCAGTAGATAATTACAATCTAAAGATAGATACAAGTTCCTTTTTTAAATTTTGGTTGTACATATTATTTTCTTTATAAGTTATGTTTCCTGGAATATTTTATCCTGATGTTAATAAAAATTACCAAGATATTCACTGAAAGTTGGATCAACTATTTCAATCAGTGAAAATAATTGATTAAATTGTTCTCTGACTGCATTGAGTTCACCATTGAAATTAGATTCCTATAATAGAGAAACAGAAACGTTTCTAATAGAATATATATATATATATATCGTAGTTTTATCATCACATTTCGATAAGCAAACACTCAACATATTAACAATAAATGAATAAAATGTTCAAGAACAAATATTAGACTGTCATCTGGTAGAAAACTCTCTTGCTTGGAGATAGGTAGCTAGTTATGACTATTAAAAATATTTAGAAAACTTTTTATTGAATAATTATAATTTGACTATATATTAAACAGATGTTATTATACTGTATAATTGATTCGGAGCACTTCTTACTGCAACAACGTTTATGGCGCAGGTGCATCCACTCTTTGTGTTCTCCCAAATTCCTCGTGTCCCTTTTTTATCTTTCCAAATTTATTTCACTGGATTATACACCTTGAATAACATCTTCGAACCCTAATAATTGCGATGACTGCTTATACTCTTACCACCTCTACCACTATGTATTTGAATCGATAACTGTATCTCTGTGCTAATGTGGTATGGCAACTGGAACTGATGTACGTACGTACGAAGTTCTACGTTGTTACTGACTGACTGAACAATGTTTATAGTACTGAATAACATTATTGTTATTAATATCATTATTATCAACATACAAAAGTGCAAAATAAAGATAAATTTCTCCTACAAATTAAACAAATATGACTAGAGTAGAAGAGAAGTAAAATTACAAGAGAAAACAATCGATAAAGAAATGAACAGAGGATGTGGAAATATGAAATGTTCACTATTTATTGATTTATTTGTTTGATATTGTCATATATGTAAAAATCAAGAAACATTATTATTATTATTATTATTATTTAAACACATAAACATTGGTACAAAGAGGCACCAAATACATATGCGCCACATAAATCATTCGATTTGCGTGAGGGGCTGAGATACTACACGGGTGCCCGGACCGAAGCAGGTGGTTTTTTAGGGGGCCACACCCGGAGCCTCCGACCTAAAGGTCTGACCCATAAGGCAGTGGGGCAACGACAGGAGATGCAGTCACTTGGTAGCCGGTCACCAACAATTGGTTCATATGCCATTTGTTTCTCTAGGGTTATGGAGCACATGTGCACCATTGTTTTGCAATCAGGGTTTTCAAACTTCTCTATGTGGATTGCCCGTACCCACCAACCCGATTAAAGCGCCGGACATTCGCTTTTTGTCCCAAATTTCGTAAACAACAGCCCCACCGCGAGAAGGTAGTGAGTAGGACTTCCCTGACAGTGGTTGTATACACGTGGTCGTGTGAGAGCATTTCGAGAGGGAGAGCTGACTCTCCCCACTCTCGGCTGTACCAGGGCGATTTGAGGCCATAAGACTCAGTAGAAGATGCCTGTTGCTAGTGTATACACAAGACTACTACTAACACTTAATTTACATTACGTCACATTCTTCTGTTTTGAGTGATTTTCTTTATTTCGTCTACTTTGTAGCTTACCCGAAATCTCCATTCGAATCGACCAAAAACTAGATTTTCCGAAAATCAGCATTGTGAATTTTTTAAAAATTTCCAACTGCAACATTAAATTAGACATTAGGAATCTTACACACTGAATGGCTGATTCTCGAAGACACTCAAAAACAGTCTATAAATATTCATGCTTTTCGATATACCAAAGTCAGTTGTGGCGGGAATAAATCTTCGAACTGATCGTTTGTTTTTGCATTAGTTAGATGAAAATCTAAGCTTTTGGATAATGTGATAAGAAGACGAAGGTTATCAGAATTATGTGATATATTTGCACAATGCATTTTGAAAAATGCGATCACAGCTATACCTGCCAAGACTTTATATATGAAAAATAAAAGTTGAACTAGACTGAAATCCCCTATATGTGTTCAAAAACAATTTGTTCTTACTCTTAACCTATATTACTGATTTATTATCCAGCGTCGCTTTTTACATTACTTGTATACTTTATTATTATTATCTTTGCTTCCTTTATCTTTTAATTTATCAAGTTGACCTTTCATTGTTCATATATAATATCGTAACAAGTATATGTGTAGTCACTGCTCGAAATGCATTGTGCAAACATATCACATAATCTTGATAACCTGCATCTTCTCACTATATTATCCAAGCTCATCAAGAGGACTAATTGTTTCAAATTTTTGGAAATCTAAGCATTAAAAAAATTCACGTTTTCCCAATGCTTCTGAGAGAATCACTAGGCTAAACATTCAAGAAAGTTGAATGGATATACAAACACTGATGTACGTTTATAATTCTGGATCATTTATATATATATATATATATATATATATATATATATATATATATATATATATATATATATCAAAAACTTACTAGTCTATTCATTAAACCAACAAAACACCAAAAAGAATCTTCTTCATCTTTAATAACATAAAGTATTAATGCGAGTAAATCATTCATTCCTTGAAAGTAACCTGAAGCACAACCATAAATACAAAAAAGAAATATGATTGAAATAGGCGGTTATGAGAACAGATTCAAAATGTTTAACAATAAACAAGAAGTGTTTTAGATTACTGTTAAGTCAGTCAGTCAGTAACAACGTAGAACTTCGCACGTACGTACATCAGTTCCAGTTGCCATATCACACTAGCACAGAGATTACTGTTAAAACGGCATCTCTTAGACATATCCAAGAAAAAAAACTGTCTACATTTTCATTATCAATGTACACGATTTTTAATTGTAAGAATGCATCTTTAAAAGAATTGAGGATATTTATAATTATTCTCAATTTCATTTTAGTCAGTATTTCATCAGCATAAAAGTTTCAAGTGATGTTTTAAAAATTATTTTTAATCAGAACACAAAATGAATTGTCAGAGCGATTTTCTCGAAACTATAATCTATTCCATCTTATTGATAATTCGCTTGATTTTATTTTCACTTTTGTTTGGTTGACGTAAATCAAGAGACTAGGGAAGTGTGACCAAAGAAGTAGGTCATTAGAATAAAACCAACTATTAAAAAAACAAAGTAATCATGCAAATAAACAATTAATCAATGAAAAGTCTAGGTAGGAAGTCCTATGTTTCATTAGGAAAGTTTGACATAGATGACTTCAAATATCTATTCTAAGATCCTGGAGACGCCGATATATCCTTAAGGCCTAATAAACGATCTCAAATCAACGTAAAATCGATACCTTTCTCAATCAGTTAGTAACTTTGACATATTCAGTTACAAATTAGATAAAGTCTGCATTTAATACAATTAATCACAGAATAATAAATCAGTGAATATAAACAGTCAATTTCAGGTTATGTAATTAGCTCTCACCGAAATCCATATTATATATAGTATACGTGATAAGTATATCTGAAAGACGTGTCAAATTTCCATGACTATCATCTGAGTAGAAATCAGTTTTTCGATCAGTACGTGGAACGTCTTTATCTAATTATGTTGGTGTATAACAAAACAAAAAGAATATGTATCAGTTAAGTGTCGAGAAAAACGAAATGTTTTATACACGAAAAAAGAAACAAGAACAAATGCAGTCAACAATAAATACTGATGGGATAAGATGCTTCTCCGTACTTTCAGACTTTTTTGGCTTTTCTCGAGTTTTCTGGGTCTCCCTAACAATATCGTAGTGTGTATAGATCACGTTACAATAGCAGAATCATGCCCAACAGTGTTTTAAATTATTCGGAAATATTAAACAACGTAAACAGCGTAATGATCTAACGGTTAGTGAGAAATATCAAGATGCGCACTTCTGAGGAGTCCCACAATAGGACGAAAAGGCCGTCCAGTGTTTCCAGGTTTTCAATGGTAGTCTAACATCATTAGGTTCAAGATCTCAATCCAAAACTTAATAATCTCAACAACCCGATAGTGATACTTAATTTTCAGTCAATAAACCGTTCATCAAAGCTACATTTGATTTGGTTATTGACGATTAGTGTTATGTTTGTATATTTTCTGTGTCTGGGGTCTTCCTGCTTATACTTGACAATGGGGAACCACTGTAATTTCCATAATGTGAAGCAAAAACACAAAAACTGATACAGATGAAGGCATATGGACTCTCTAAAACGAGACCCTTAAACAGGTTGTCCGAAACTGTTCTCGTTAAATCAAATACACTCATTTACATACTGATTTTACCATTCGCTTGTTGATTATTCGATAAACATCATATGAATGAAACGATACAGAGTTACTACAAAACACAGAAAAAGTTAACTGACGGTAATACAAAGAATATAAATGTCATACTGGGCAAAATTCCACACATATCATACTAATACAAACATATTAACCAGAAATAATGCTACACTGGAAAAGACGGCTAGGATATTACACTGCAAATAAAACTTATGTCATAAAATATTATATCAAGTTAGAAAAAACGTGAACTCGCCTTTTCATTCGGATTTATTGGTTAGTATTATTGACCATTATACAATATGCATACAATCACACATGGTCATTACTATTATTATTTAATGGTTAATGGAATTCAAATTAAACCCTCTCAGTCATTTCCACCTAAACGTACCCGACGTGGTGGTCGGGCTTACCTATCGTGATGACTCTAGCGAGCTATATTGGCTAGAACATATGCTCCTGTAGGTTCTACCATGCCAGGTAGGTCGATTAAAGAACGGTAGGACTAAAAGTAGCAACTCAAAGTCTGAGGGCGATGTCGTACTGCTGACTGTAGAGGGGTGTGACGTCAGTAAGGTTTTCTCTCGTTCAACCAGCATCTGCAGCGATGGTGCCTTCTCACAAGGAGGGGTGGGGTTAGAAAAGGTCGACCCTAAAAATGTCACACCTCACCTTACCTCACGGATTTCCGTCTCCGGCGGTAAGGCCCTTTGAAGAACGGAGCTAACACGTCAAAACCTTCCACAAAAGGGCCGTGCGCGACCGGCCTCAAGCAGTTGTCCCTTGGGCTCTGCAGTCACGCTCCCAGGTCGTTAAGGCCAACATTAATCAAATTTCCTTTTCAGGTTCCTCAGGAAATACCCTTCCACGGTGTGGGCAGCCGGGAAGTGACATCAGCCCTCATACCCGTAACAGCGCAAGGGATCAAGTTGGTCACATTCAAATCCCTCATACACCTCCTAATACCTCTCTTATCCTCCCGACTAACCCTCCTCACGTCTCTTTATCATCTCGCACCGCTAGGGCAAACGATTCGAGTACGCGGAACGTTATTCCTGGTCTCCTGAAACCAAACTCTAAACTACACACACGAGGTTTTAACGTCCGAACACTGTGCCAAATAGGACAACATGCTTCCCTAGCTAGGACTTTAGAATCTCGCGCCATCGATGTGTGCTGCGTCTCCGAAACGCGCATACAGAATCCGAGTAGCATCATTCATTTGACATCACCATGTAAAAATAAAGAACCAACTCGATTCACACTTCATGTATCTGGGAGCCCAGATGCTGCTTTTCGTGGGTTTGCCGGCGTAGGTATAGCATTGAGTCCTAGGGCATAACTAGCTCTCTTAGACTGGATCCCAGTAGACAGTCGTTTGTGCGCTGTCCGACTAAACGAAACAGTAAGAATCCGAAAAGATAGGGACACTCGTCGTTGCCTCTTCGTCGTCTCTGCTTACTCTCCCACTGACTGTAGCTCAGATGATGTAAAAGATGAGTTTTACAGAAAACTTTCTGACCTCCGAAAAGCTAGGCGCTCGGATGTAGTAATAGTGGCCGGTGACTTTAATGCTCAAGTAGGTAAACTAAGCGAAAGGGAAAGAAACCTAGGTGAATCTCAAAGCGTCGTGGCTCAAAGAACAGATGATGGCGACCGTCTGTTGCAGCTATGCTCAGATAACCGCCTCTTTCTTGCAACTGCTAACTTTAAACAAAAGGAAAAACATCTTTTAACATGGCAACCCCCTAATTCGTCCCAACGTTGGACCCAAATAGATCACATCGCTATCAACCACCGATGGAGGGGCTCGATAGAAGACTGTCGCTCATTCTGGAGCACATGCCTAGATTCAGATCACGCTCTAGTGCGAGCGCGTATTTGCCTGCGTCTTAGTGGACGTAGGAATGACGCTGCAAGGAAACCTCTTAGGGTCCTACTTAGTGATAGTCAAGCTAAGAGTATATTTCAGGAACAACTAGAAAAACAGTTAGGCAGCCATGTAAGTGATGCCCACCCCGAGGAAGCGTGAAATGACACCCGAAAAGCTGTGGAAACAGCAGTGATGTCTGCAAGTACGGTAAACTAGAAGGTTAGGGAGAAACACCGGTACTCTGCAGCATCTACCGCACTGATAGATGCTCGAAAACTCATTCCATATGGCTCTGAACATAACGAAGAGCGGAGTCAGCTTAAGCGCAAGCTGACAAGAAGTCTACGCAATGATCGTGAACAGTGGCGGGTAGCGAAAGCAAGAGAGATGGAAAAGGCAGCGGCAATAGGTAACAGCAGACAACTTTTCAGACTTGTTGAGGAAAACGACTGTTAACGAAACACTCTCAGAGAAAGATGGACATATTATACATTCTCAATCCAGGAGATTGGACCGATGGGCAGAACACTTTAGGGATCAGTTCAACTGGCCTTCAGCCACACTTCGGTTTCTCACGATCTCCAGTCAACCTGAATGGCAAGTTAATGTAAGTCCTCCGACTCTTTACGAAGTTGAAAAAGCCATAGGAAATCTGAAACGAGGGAGAGCAGCAGGCCCTGACAGGTTTACTTCTGAGACTTTTAAGGATGGTGGTCCAGTATTAGCAATGAGATTAACTGAGGTCTTAGGTAGAATTTGGGAACTGGACGTAATCCCATCTGACTGGTCTCAATCACTGATTGTGCCAGTCTATAAGAAAGGACAAAAGTCCTCTTGTGACAATCACAGAGGAATCAGTTTGACTAATATAGTGTCTAAAATATTAGCCTCAATAACACTTCGAAGCCTAACCAAAGCTCGTGAAGAACAGACTAGAGAAAAGCAGGCTGGTTTTCGACCTGGACGTGGTTGTGTGGACCAGATATTCACACTACGTCAGGTTCTAGAACACAGACACACATTCAGACGCCCCACAATCGTAGTATTTCTTGACCTTAAGGCGGCATTCGACTCTGTTGATCGTGGGGTTCTGTGGCAGTGTTTGTCACTGAAAGGAGTACCAAAGAAGTACATTAACCTTATAAAGGCTCTCTACTCGAACACAACTGGTCGAGTGAGAGCTTATGGCGAACTGCCATCAGAAACAATTACCTCAGGGCTGTCCATTCTCTCCATTCTTCTTTAACTTTGTCGTTGACGTGCCTTTAGAGATAACACTTTCCTCATCTAAATTTACAGGGGTTGAACTTCTACCGGGAGGTTCACTTGTTGACTTAGAATATGCTGATGACATAGTTTTATTCGGTGAAGACGCTGACAAAATGCAGAGTCTTCTGACCACTCTAAGCAACAATGCAAGCATGTTCGGGATGCGATTCTCTCCCTCGAAATGCAAAATGTTGCTTCAGGATTGGGTTACATCGACACCCGAACTAGTGATAGGGAGTGAAGTAGTTGAGTGTGTCGACCGCTTCACTTATCTTGGAAGTCTCATCAGCCCTTGTGGTTTAGTGTGTGACGAAATCTCAGCACGGATACAGAAGGCTCGACTAGCTTTTGCCAACTTGCGTCATTTATGGCGTAGGCGAGATATCCGTCTATCAACCAAAGGACGTGTTTACTGCGCAGCAGTTCGTTCCGTCCTACTTTATGGCAGTGAAAGATGGCCGGTAAGAGAAGAGGATATTCATAGGCTATTAGTATTCGATCATAGGTGTCTTCGAAACATTACTCGTATATCATGGGACCATCGAGTAATTAACACTGTTGTTAGGAAACGGGTACTAGGTAAGGATGGCAAATCAATTGAAGTAGTGAAACTTCATCAGTTGAGATGGCTGGGACACGTATTACGTATGCTCAACCACCGACTGCCCCGACGTGCGATGTTCAGTGGTATAGGAGTAGGTTAGGAGAAAACTAGGGGCGGCCAGGCCAAAATGTGGCACAAGTCCATGAAGTCACTGACAAGTGGACTGAGCCATGTTGGTAGGTGTAAACTACCTGGTTGGGGTCCGCGAGACGATAGCAACCGATGGTTAGAGATCTTGAATGACATGGCTCAAAATCGTTTGCGATGGTGCAGGTGTATCCACTCTTTGTGTTCTCCCAGATTCTAATCTGAATTCTTCATGTCCTTTATTTCCTTTCCAAATTTATTTCACTGTATTATACTCCTTGAATAACATCTTCGAACCCTAATGTTTCCGATTACTACTTATACTTTCACTACCTCTACTACTACGGGATTTGAATCGATAACTGTACTTCTGTGCTAATGTAGTGTGGCAACTGGAACTGATGTACGTACATACGAAGTTCTACGTTGTTACTGACTGACTGAGATGAAGACACTTATGAAAGAAAGTAAAGAAAAGAATGCATGTCGAGATCATAGTAAAATGAGAGGTTGAACATATTGCCAAATGTGACTTAAGTTGGTAAAAGCCTAGTGAGATTTCTAAATCCATACAGAGATTTCACCAGACATCAACTAACCAGGGCTGGTACGACTCCAAAGGTCAGTGTATCAGTCATCGTACTAAACCACTTCACTCTCTATGATCAGTTTAAGCTTTAAAGCAGATCAGTCCTGAGGTAACATTTTGCATTTAGGAGTGAAGCATACTCTAATTATACTTGGATTAATACTAAGCGCGTTTGAACTTAACTGAAGCATGTATTTGTTATTTTATAATAATGAAAATACATTGTGTCAGTTTATGAAATTCAAAAGAACTATTCGGACGCACAGACGTCTGAGGAATATCATCCTATCGATAGCAATCGAATCAGGTTTTGATGAATTGGCTTCCAGTTGCTTTCAACGAGATACCATCCCTGTTTTAATTTGAAATAGTTGATAGATGATCAAAATCTCAACCTGAATCCTTGCAAATGGTTTTAGATTTTTTGCCAGATAACGGATCAACTACAACACATTTATTCGCATGCCTACTAGGACTCCATTATTAGAATGATTAAGAATTGTATCAGCAGTTGAAGAAGTGACGTATTCGATTCATTCAACAACCAAAAAAGAATTTTGTGTAGGCAGTTTTGTTTACTGAAAAGGTATCAATCAAAGGTAATATATTCACTGGCGATCAACTGATTTCAATGATTTAATCTTTTTAAATTCATATTTTTATCATTATAATAAAGATATTAATTAGAAAAGAATAATATTTCTGATCACAGACCCATACTTTTTGATAACATTCAAAGGAAACAGCATGAAACAATGGTAACTGTTAGAAAAAGAAATGAACAGTACTGAAATGCCAAATTTTTGCTAGTTATATTCCGAAAATTCATACATAATTTATGATGAATGGTCACTTTTTAGTATTGAGTAATGTAAGGGGAAGTCAAATGCACAGGATAAATCAAGTGACATCTAAAAGTAATTAACTTTCTCCAAGGGAAGCGAAACATTTGCTTACTTGATAAACATTACAATCGGAAAATGAAGTTATTAGTATTCCCTGTTACGTTATTTAGATGAACGAAAGAAAATAACAATAAGGGACCTACCAATAAAACATTTACGATCACGAAACAATGCAAACCTAGCTTCTCGATCAGGGGACATTGACTTCCAAAATGTCTTCAAGATGTGGTATTCACGACTGAAAAAAAAGAAACGTAAAACGCTGGAGAATGTGGTTTATTGTATAATGAAGTAAGAATTCATGAGGAATATAGCTATATGAAAGAAACATTTAGAGTTAAACTAATTGAGTAATAACCACAATTACAAGACAAAAAATAAGGAAATAAGTTATCTGCACTTGTCTATTTTGATTAAGAAGCCAGATGAAGGTTAATCAATGACGCTTTCTAGGTATAAAGATCAAGTTTAAGTTTTCTGATCACCATGGTTTCCATTTAGGTCACATAGGGAAAAATTTTGCTCGTAAAATACAGTTTCACTTGCATGACGAGCTACGAGCAAAACAAAATAGGCTTCGAGTATTTTAATCACCACTATTATCCAAATGACAATGACAGAGCGTCATCCGTTAGGCTATGCAAATCATTGTGTATTTAAGAAATGTTCTATATAATTTGAGGTGAAAGTTTGACCTGATGATTTCAAATAAACTTGTCAGAGGGTACTGTAAGTAATAAACTAATGACAGCTATGATATCTAAACGAGTAAAAATTGAGTTTCTGACGTTTAATGGAGCAGTGTAAGTCGCTTCTTCAGAGAACACAAAAACAATTGAATAAATAGTACAAAGGAACAAAGCAGAATTATTTGGTATATCTGAAACACAAATCTGATAAAGTTTATGCCGAGTCATTGTGGCCAAGGTGATGTGAAACATGCTGGTGTATTCATGTATACATTAGTGGGTATTATCCATAACTTGTCTTGATTCAGTTATTTATTTATTCTATGAAGAAGCAACTTACACTGAGCAGTGAAACGTCAGATATTCAATTTCCCACACATTAGGATATTGAAAATATATCAATATTGATTGAAGGGGTTCGCATTTTTCAGTTATTAACATCCACGTTTGTTATGCCATATGGGCTTATTTATTTGAACAAATAAATATTGGTACAAGGGGGCACCAAATATATATGCGTCACACAAAACAATGAGAATGGGAAGAGAAAAAAAGAAGGTAAGGAGCGTTGTTGCTACCTTGACGTGGTGGTCGGGTTTGCTTATCGCGATGAAGCAACCGAGCTATATTGGCTGCAACAACCGTTCCTCAAGGTCCTAACATGTCAGAAAGGTCGGTTGAAGAGCGGTAACACTAAAAGCAACAAACCCAAGGTCCGAAGGCGAGGTTGTACTACCGACTGTACAGAGGCGTGACAGCAGTAAGGTGTTTCCTTTAGCATAACAGCAATGCTGCCTTCCCATAAGAAGAAGTGGGGTTAGAAAAGGTCGACCCTAAAAATGCACACCTAACCTTATCCCACGGATATCTGTCTCCGGCGGTAAGGTCTGAACAAGTACGGAGCTAACACAAAAATCACTCATAAAAAGTTCGTGTGTGACCGACCTCAAGCAGTTGTCCCTTGGGCACTGCGGTCACGCTCCCAGGTCACTAAGATCACCTCTAATCCAATTTCCTTTTCAGGTACCTCCAGAACAACCCTTCCACGGTGTGGGCAGCTGGGAAGTGATAACCGCCCTCATACTTCTAACAGCACTCAAGACCACTGTATTCATAATCAACCTCCCTCTTCAATTCCTATTATTCCTCCTTCATCGACTTTCAACACTAAACGTCCTCTTTCGGCTTCCCCCTCAAGTGTCACCATAGCCAATGATTCTAGTGCGCGAAACGCTGTCCCAGGTCTACTGAAACCTCGCTCAAAACTACACATTGGAGCCTTCAACGTACGCACCCTATGTCAAATCGGTCAGCAGGCTTCCTTGGCTAAAACCCTAGAATCTCGTACCATTGATGTGTGCCCTGTCTCCGAAACAGGCATACAGAATCCTAGTGTGGTTATTCACTTGACCTCACCTCGCCAAAACGGAGAGCCAACAAGATACACCCTCTGTGTATCTGGTGACCCGACGGCCAGCTCTCGTGGACTGGCAGGCGTAGGTATAGCAGTAAGCATGGGGGCGGAACAAGCACTGTCAGAGTGGATCCCCGTCAACAGTCATTTATGTGCTGTTCGGCTGAACGGCTCCGTAAGAACTCGGAAGGATAGGGACACACGTCGTTGCCTTTTTGTCGTTTCTGCCTACGCTCCCACTGACTGCAGCTCGGATGAAACGAAAGATGAATTTTACAGAAAGCTCTCTGAACTTCTTCAGAGAGCTAAACGTTCAAACGTAGTACTCTTAGCAGGTGACTCTAATGCTCAGTTAGGTAGCTTAAACCAAACAGAAAGACATTTAGGTGGGTATTTTAGTATTCCGGCACAACGAACAGATAATGGTGAGCGTCTGCTGCAACTGTGCTCAGATAATCGTTTATTTTTAGCAAACACAAATTTTAAGCATAAGGAGAGACATCGTCTAACATGGCGACCCCCTACACCAAACCAACGATGGACTCAAATAGACCATATTGCCATCAGTCATCGTTGGAGAGGGTCGGTACAAGGTTGTCGCTCATTCTGGAGTACCTGCTTGGACTCCGACTATGCCCTAATACGGGCACGCATCTGCTTGCACCTCACTGGACGCAAAAAAGCCACAGTAAAAAGACCAATTTGAACTGAACTGAGCAGCGAGGAAACCAAAAGTAGGTTCCAGGAACAACTGAGGTCACGATTAGGTAGTTCCGAAAACGAGGTTGACCCAGATGTTGCTTGGAAAGCTATACAAACAGCTGTGGAAACAGCAGTGACATCTATCAGTGATTTAAACCATAGGGTTACAAAGAACCAATGGATTTTCTCAAGGTCTATTGCACTGATGGATTCTCGTAAACTTGTCTAATCAGGCTCTGAACATGATGAAGAGCGACAACAAATCAGATCTAGGTTAACTAAAAATCTAAGGAACGACCGTGAGCAGTGGTGGGCTATGAAAGCAAAAGAGATGGAAAAGGCGGCGACTATAGGGAACACAAGACAGCTTTACAGACTAATAAAAGAAACTGGAATTAATAAGTCAAGTGTAAGTGAGATTATATCGGAAAAAGACGACACTCTCACATGCTCCCAGTTCAGACGTTTAGAACGATGGGCGGAACATTTCAGAGAACAGTTCAGCTGGCCTTCAGCTACTCTACAATTACCCTCCATTCCCAGACAATGTGAATGGAACATTGAAATGGGTCCCCCAACTCTAGCCGAAGTTCAAAAGGCTATAGTTAATCTGAAACGAGGAAGGGCAGCTGGTCCAGATGGACTGGCTCCAGAGGTCTTTAAGTATGGTGGTCTAATTTTAGCGACTAGGTTGACTAATATTTTACTAAAATCTGAGAGTTAGACGTTATTCCATCTGACTGTTCGCAATCACTTATCGTCCCAATATATAAGAGAGGGTCAAAATCATCCTGTGACAACCATAGAGGGATTAGTTTAACTAATATAGTTTTAAAGGTACTAGCCTCGATAATTATCAGACGCCTAACTAAAACTCGTGAACTGCAAACACGAGAGAATCAAGCTGGCTTCAGACCTGGTCGTGGCTGCACCGACCACATATTCACCATTTGTCAGGTTCTAGAACACAGGCATACTTATCGGCATCCGACAATGGTGGTCTTTCTTGACTTAAAAGCAGCATTTGACTCGGTAGACCGCGCGATTCTGTGGCATTGTCTGTGATTGAAACGCGTACCTCAGAAGTAGATAAACCTTGTAAAGGCTCTTTACTCGAACACTACTAGTCGAGTCAGGGCTTATGGCGAACTGTCATCTGATTTTGCAACCTCAAGTGGTGTCCATCAAGGCTGTCCACTTTCTCCATTTTTGTTTAACTTCATCATAGACCTACTGATGGAAACAACATTCTCGTCGACTGGATTCTCGGGTATTGATCTCCTTCCAGGAGGTCCACTTATCGACTTAGAATACGCAGATGACATAGTCTTGTTTGGTGAGGACGCTGATAAAATGCAGTCTTTTGGTAGCACTAAGTAACAATGCCAGAATGTTTGGAATGCGCTTCTCTCCCTCTAAATGCAAGTTTTTGCTTCAGGACTGTTCTGCGTCAACACCTGAACAAAGGATAGAGAGTGAAGTAGTCAAACGCATCGACAACATTTATCTTGGAAGTCTGATCGACCCAAATGGGTTGGTGTCTGACGAAATCTCAGCACGGATTCGAAAAGCTCGTTTGGCTTTTGCCAACTTACGTAACCTATGAAGGAAGAAAGATATCTGTCTATCAATTAAAGGACGAGTATAGTGCACAGCAGTTCGTTCTGTTCTACTTTACGGCTACGAAACGTGGCCATTAGGACTAGAAAATACTCGTAAGCTACTAATATTTGATCACAGATGTCTTAGAAATACTGCTCGCATCTGTTGGGATCTTCATCGACTGAGATGATTGGGCCACGTGTTACGTATGCCTCAACAGCGATTACCACGAAGTGCAATGCTAACCGGTGTTCGGGATGGTTGGAAGAAAGTTAGGGGCGGCCAAACTAAAACGTGGCATCAGTGCTTGAAGTCACTAACTTCTAGTCTTAGCCATGTTGGTAGATGCAGACTACTTGGTTGGGGTCCGCGTGACTTTCGTAACCAATGGTTGGAGACTCTAGGTGACATGGCTCAGAATCGATCACAACGGCGTAGGTGTATACACTCTCTGTCTTCCCTTAAACTAAGAGATTAAAATCGCTTCATATCTTTCTTTCTACGAACTAATTCTTTCTTCTTGTACTATATCCTTATATGAAATCTTTCTTTTATATATTACCACCTCTGAATTAACTACTTTTATGAATCCGGTGTCCATCGTGTTGTGTTAATGAGGTATGGCAACTTTGACCGATGCATATATGTACCTGACCCTACGTTGTAGCTGACTGTCTGACTGAGTATAATAATAATAATAATAATAATAATAATAATAATAATAATAATAATAATAATAATAATAATAATGGGGGTAACGGAAAGGTACAACCAGAAGGATTCTTTCAGTTAAGGAAGAAACAACCACTTTTTATGAAGAAAGTAAAAGAAGGTTACAGCAAAATCGCCACTGGCTTCTATTCTGAGCCACATCTGATAACGTCTCTAGCCGCTGTGTTGCACCATTTCTAGGACCCCAGCCAGGGATTCGAGAAGGACCAACAGTAGGAACCGCGATACAAAAAAGTTAATATATTTTTAACTTCTACATAAGAAGATTCTAGTATTCTCCAAGTACTGGTTACCGCTGATGGAAATAACCAACGTCTATCCTGACAACATAAAATAACGAACCCAGTACCATCCGCTTCAAACGCCTTCGCGTTATCCACGTAGTAACTAAGTTCAGATAGCCACTAGCTTGTGCCATGGAGTGAAGTTCGATTCATTTTGTAATAGTTTTTTGAATCTTCCCACCATCATCTAGGGATGCAATTAACTAGCCTCTTTTTGGCATATGTGGATCCTGTGAGGATTGCCTCGACATTACCATTAAGTCAAATGCATTTTAAGCAGGGAAAAATGTGTCTTCGTTTCCAGTGCTAGCCACTATCTATCTTTACTTATAACCAATGGAAAATGTTAGTATCTGAGATAAGTAACTGGTTGGATTAAAATTAAAGCATATTTAAAAAAGCTAGACCTTTAAGGAAAGAATATACAAAAGTTATTGTTTTGTGTAAGTTGACGAGGTAAGTATATATATATATAACTTGAAAGTTAACAATAACAATCTTCAAATGCTTTGAGTTATATATTTAAAGATTTATTTATTATATTAATTAATAAATAAACGTAGTTTTATAAAACCGATAAAAATTAATTGACGAAAAAAGCAAAAGAACAGGAAACTTGATCATCATCATTAACAAATAATGGACAGCTAGAAACTTATTTAGTTTTAATTCTGTAAATAAATGCTTATTAGTTGATGAAGCCTTCAACCCAATGCATTACAGTGAGAATATAAGTGAAAGAAGAAGAAACTTTGGTAAATAAATATTCATATTTATTGAAGTTGGGCAATGACTAGTATTGGAATACAGAATATATGTTTCATTCTATTTGAAACTCGGACAATTAAATTGAACTGTTAGTATTCACACAGGCTCGAAATCATTACTTTTTACTCTACCATTGAGCTACAGAGAGAGAGAGAGAGAGAGAGAGTGGTCAACTGCAGTTCTTGACATCAATAATTGGAAGATGAACACCACTATGAACAGAATCTTCTTAATTGTTTGTACTTTACGTAATTTTAATTTGAAGGCTATAGGTTGATATATTTACAAGATGAGATGAGTACGAATATTAATGCTGCTTGGTCTTTAAGATTTCATGAAGATATTACTGTGGGGTTATATATATTGCCTGTTTGCTGACCGAATCTTCTTATTATTGACCTTTTCCTACCATATTTTGTTGGTAACGAAACAGAATTTTGTATTCATAAATAATGATGTAAATCTATTGTCAATACGTGCATATATTTTAGTCCTATAAGAAATCGCTCAGTTAATTTACATGATAAAATACTTTTAATATTATTTAAAACTAGCAAACCTTTTTTCAACTTTTAATCTTTCATTTTCTTCTGCTGTATAAGTCCATTGATAATAACCGAGCAAATACTTCCATACTATCGGTTTTAAATCATTTTCAATACCCTGCATGAAATAATAATAACAATGGTAATTATGCGAAACAAGAAGGAAGATGACGATAAATATACCTTATAAAGTAGAAAAAATAATCGTGTTCGCTTTAGTTGGTACTCATTTATTGTTAAACACAGTATAATAAAATTAGTTTAGGTGGCTGAGACACCTAATAAGTATGCCCAACCATTGCCTACCTCGATCAGTGATGATGGTTGGTAGAGTAAGCTGGAAGAAAGCTAAAGGTATAAAAACCAAAAGTTCATGTGATCATTAGCCTTTGGAGTGAATTGTGCTAGTAGGCGCAGACCACCTGGTTGATGGTTTGTACCAATGGTTAGAGACTTTGAGTGACATGACTTAGAATTGGTCGTAGATATATTCACTCTTTGTCTTTCCTTGGACCTTAAGTTTTTTTTGACCGCGTCAAGAATTTTTTATCCTACGAATGCATATTTTCTGCTCGAATCATATCTTCTACTACGACTAACGGTGTGACAGAATGATTGGAAAGATTAGGATAGTTTGTCTGTCTACAAGTTTGAAAATATCAACGTAGATGTACGAAAACAGGAATCTCTATTTCACTACTTATACTACTCTAACACCTTGTCGTGCTAATGTGCTGTGACAACTTGAACTGATTTATATATGTCCCAGTTTCTCTACGCTACGTATGACTAACTAAATGACATAATTTGTTATGACTATCAATAAATGAATAAAAAAAATGTACTGTAAGTGTCAGTTGGACGGGATAATTGAAAAAAAGGCATACCTTGACACTAAATTATATTGAAAACGAGTGCAATTCAGTCTGCTGTGAACACAACAAATAATACTTTGGACCATATCTGTTATAAAGCAACCTAAATATGTGTAGCTACCAAGTCTGTAATAAGAAATAATTTTGTTTCATAAACAATGTCAAAATGCTTGTCAAGAAATACGTAAATTCACTAGGCATTAAAATCAAATTATTTTATATACTTTATAGGACTTGACAGACTTGTAAAAGTTGAACCACAATATGAAATTTACACTACTCATAGTGGGTAAAACCATAATAGCAGTACTGAACTAATGGTGAACATCCGAAGTTTACAAAGTTTTGATAATTAGAAAAATTGTTAAGCGATAGAGTGATAGGTTCCAATATGATATCTTGGACTATGTAACAACATTTGTTTTTGTTTTCAAAACTTATTTGGGCTGAGCCATATTTTAGTTGTCCGATCAGTAAACAGTAGAAATTCAATAGTGAGACATAAACATGATTCTTACTAAGTATTACTTCCTAACTGCTAAAATATTCTTCTCTTCTAAACCAATTTTAGACAACCCACTAAACATTATGGTCGGCATAAGTGATCCGGTTATAAACATGATAGTGATCAGGATACATCGACAACAATATAATCCAGTCTTGATGATCTAAGAGTAGTTTTTTCTCTCTTATTTCTCTAATCTTTTCACATTTTTTGACTCGTTGGTATTTCGACAAATTCAAATAATGGTGTTCCTTTACAATGAAATGTAAGAACTAATGGTTTGTAATTTAGCAAGAATCAAAAGTTTTATCAGATTATACAAGTTTTTGGCACATTCACGGTATTTTTCTAGTAGATAAATGTGTTTTTGAAAACGTTCTTGTAAAGATATTCGTGATGTGCGTTGAGAAGCCTGGGGAGATCACCTGGTAGTCTCTAAAACTAAGCTTAAATTCAGCCATATATACTATCAACGGGACATTATGCAAACAAACAGAGTGATAATAGGATACCCTTGCTAACCTGTTTATGTCACATATAGAATTATATATTTTCGCCAATGACATTAGATCACGAATTTGGTTCAGATATGGGGACTATACTTTTTTGTCGTTATGAAAAAGACTCTCTTACGAATGTTTTCTAGACTGATCATTATACTCCCATCCCATACTGAATCCCCATACAAAAATCAAAATGAATACGGTGAATTATCATTTTTAAATTGCTCAATTAAAAGAAATCTAATTGAAGATGTAAATCAGACTATCCAGGGTAAACCAACACACTCTAATCGTTATACTGCCTTCAACTCAGTACAAAAATCTCTTTAGAAGAGCAACCAAGAATATGACATCCGAAAAGGCTAGGCAAAAGGAACAGAAACACAGTCAAGAACTTATAATTTTCCTATGAATATTAATAAATATATATCAAAACGAGACGATTTATTATTAAGTAGTAGTTCAAATGAAATAATATGGACTGGTGCTGTAGTTTTACCATACCGCCAAAGTACAACAGAAAAACTAAAGAATCTTAACATAGACTTCAAGCACACTACAAAACAATTGACACCCTTAGGAATTGAGATAGTAGAGATTTGTAGCTCAAGAGGATGATTTTGGTGGAGTTTTGTTCTCCAAGCTAGATGGTTTAATCGTGGAACTTTCATCGTTCTCAACGACATCATCGTCACACACTTCTACTTGAAGTTTTCTTCAATAACCATCAAATCGATATTGAAAATATTAAAGTAATTTTAAAAAGTCTTCCCAACTACAAAGAAAGGAGAGTAGCTAAAGATTTCCATATACTGCTAGATCCTACTGCCCTCAATAGGAAAAAAGGCCTTACTATCCATACGACTTGGAACATCTATCCGAGTTGCTATATCTAATTCTATTCACATCACACCATTACCACACATACAAACACAACTTTTCAGAATCATTTGAATTCATAGAAAACCGGGGAAAAAGAAATCATTTCAGTAAACATGGTGAAATGAAGGGATGTATATAATGTACTTGAAGAACTTGCTGTATAAAATTATTAACTTTTAACGAATGTCTTTAAAAAGTAACAGATCAATTATTTTTGCTCTGATTAAAGTTTACTTAGTGAGAAAAAGAAATGGTAATATGATACAGTTTTCAAAGAATAGAAAACCTTATTTTAAGGATGAAGTTTGTAAGTCATTCACAAATTTCACAATTTGTTTTGACGAATAAGTGAAACAGGTTACCGGTATTTGAATTAGTTCGATTAGGCTACGAAAATTGACACAAGTAGTGTGGAAATAAAGTAGCTTGAGATTCTAACATTTCTGTTGAAATTAATAGATTTTAGTCAACAGAAAAGTATACTTACACCATAACAAACTAGTAGGAAATGTATGCCCAGTTCTTCAAGTCACTTGATATGAGGAATATACCTTTATGTGATTAATTAGTGTGTATGAATTATCGATAAACTTAACAATAAGATAACATAATAATTGTTTTATGTTTCGTCTTTTATTTATTTTAATTGAGATCTTGAACCAATTGATGTTAGACCATCACAATTGAAAACCTGGAAGCACTGGACGGCCGTTTCGTCCTATTGTGGGACTCCTCAGCAGTGCGCATCCACGATCCCGCGAGCGGGATTCGAACCCAGGGCCTTCGGTCTCGCGCGCGAACGCTTAACCAACTGGACCACTGAGCCGGCATCCAATGGTGATAGTTTCTAACATCAACCAATCCACGAAATTGCGCGACCCACTTCCATTGTCTTTTAAGTAGATAACTGTCTCTACCCGACAAGGATTAGCTCCACTGGTCACGGCTTCTCACTAGAACTCCGAGAATTCCCTCACGAAGCTAGTCACTAGTGAGCACATGTTGATTACTAGTATGGGGTTGTGGAGACTATTAAGTTTTAATTGAGATCTTGAACCAATTGATGTTAGACCATCACAATTGAAAACCTGGAAGCACTGGAACACAAAAATATTGGTACAAGGGGGCACCAAATATATATGCGCCACACAAAACAATGAGAATTCGAATAGAAATAGAAAAAAAAGCTAAGGGGTGCAAAACAAAAGAGAACAATAACGAGGGGATTGGTGTAAGGTAGTATGGTAGAAATGAGGGAACGGAAAGGTACAACCAGAAGGATTCTTTCAGTTAAGGAAGAAACAACCACTTTTTATGAAGAAAGTAAAAGAAGGTTACAGCAGGATCGCCACTGGCTTCTATTCTGAACCATATCTGATAACGTCTCTAGCCACTGTGTAGCACCATCTCTCAGACCCCAGCCAGGGAGTCGTGAAGGACCAACAAAAGCCAGCCCTTTGCAGCTTTCTTTCATACCACGACACCATGTCATGCACTGACCACCTCTCCGCTTCTTCCAACCAGTCCCAGAGTCGGCAAATAATGCACGACGTGGAATTCTCTGGGACGACATTCAGAGAACATGTCCAAGCCACCGAAGTCGGTGTTCCAAGATGGTGACACCAATTGAATTGTCATCTCTGTGCCCGAACACACGATGCCAAACCTCTGCACTACTGACATGGTGTTGCCACTGAATGTCAGCAATCCTTCGGAGACAGCGATGATCGAACACAGAGAGTCGTCTAACGTCCTCAACTCGGAGAGGGCAGGTTTCACAAGCATAGAGCAAAACTGCTCTCACCGACGCGTTGTAGATCCGACCTTTTACAGCCAGACTAACATCACGAAGGTGCCAAAGACGGCCCAGATTGGCATAAGCCACTCTGGCTTTCACTATACGTGCATTGATCTCATCACTCACGCCACCACTAGCACTTATGCAGCTACCCAGATACACGAACTTCTCGACTACGTCTATCTGCTCACCATCCAGGGTGAGTACAGGATTGGAATCCTGCCAGTCTTGTAGAAGTACTTTGCACTTCGAAGGTGCAAGGCACATACCATACCTACGGACACTGATTGCCAACTGATTAAGTGCGGATTGCATGCCTTGGGCACCATCGCACAGTAAGACAATATCGTCAGCATACTCAAGGTCGAGAAGTCTTTCTCCAGGCAACAGATCCACACCGCCACTACTTACACCCATCAGAGCTGTTTCCAGAATGTCATCGATGGCAAAGTTGTAGAGGAATGGTGAGATTGGGCAACCCTGCCTAACCCCACTGCTCGAATGGAACAATGGAGAGAGGTGGCTGTATGCTCTCACTCTGCCTGAGGTGTTTGC